TACTACTACTACTATTACGATTACTACTACTACTACTACTACTACTACTACTACTACTAGCCACCCCCCCGGGCTGGGCAGCGGCAGCTTCTAGGCTCCCTAACTGCGGCAGCTGCAGAAGATGGAGGGGCTCAGGCTCCCGATCTGTGACAGCTGCAGAACTTGCAGAGGCTCACTTTCCTTAACTGTCACAACTGGTGAAATTGCAGAGGCCCAGGCCCCAAAACTGCGACAGCAACTGGAGTTGCAAATTCGACGGGGAAGAAACTGCTAAACCACAGGTGGTCGGATAGTACGAAAGCGCTGTAATTACCGTGCAAAACGTAGGTGGTGCCAAGAAGGTTTTGGCACTCCTAAAAGCTGAAGCACAACATCTTATAAACATCAAAACGAAGATGCCAGCTGTACATGGGAGGGGCTCGCCAACACCCCTAAAGCCCAGACCTCGGCATAGGACCGTTTGCTTTTGAAGTAGTGTGTGGTGTGTGCGCTGTAGGGTGCAGAGATATTGTTCGGGGTGTCCGCGAAACAGTGTCGTGATCATCCCCGAAAAAGCTTCCCCCAACCCACTTTCGAGTTTTTGCCGAAAGCTGTCCGAAATTTAAGTTCCAGTCCGCAAAATCCAGAAGTAGGTTTGGTGACAATATAAGATGGTCCGACATCACAAAAGTGCTGTAAGTACCGAGTAACACGGCTCTTGTGCCGTCTCAGGCTGCCGGTACGTCAATATCCTACGACAACAACAACAACTACTAGTACTACTACTACTACTACTACTACTACTACTACTACTACTACAACTGCAGAGCTGTTGTGTTTCTATCGTGCACTGGATACCCATAAACTTCTGTTGTTCGCGGGCATTTCCCTTGGCCCTACCTTGTCTGCACCTCAGCCACTAGAGCTCAGGGCAGGTGAACCCTCAACCATAAGCCCCGAGCCTCAACCCCAAGCTCCTAAGCCCTAAAACCCTGAAGCCCCCAAGACCTAAACTCCAAAGTCACAAATCCGACAACCGCAAGCAGTACAACCCTCAAGCCTGAACCGGGAAGTTCGAGCCACCTTGAGACCCACAAACTCCAAAGCTCTAAGCCTTAGAGGGTAAATCTCCGAAGCTCTAAACCCTAAGCCCAAAACCTGTAGGGTTATTCTTTGAGGTTTAGGCTAAATCCTAGAGAGAGCGGGCGCCCAGGGCATTCTATCCGCTGCAGCCCTTCAGACTTGAGATTCCAGGCCGGCACTCCTGCATGATGGGCTTGGAGGGTTTCGGGGTTTCGGGGTTTAGGGTTTACGGATTTAGGATTTGGGGTTTAGGGTTTAAGGGTGTAGGGGGTTTTGGGTTTAGGGGTTTAGGGGTTTAGGGGTTTAGGGGTTTAGGGGTTGGGGGTGTAGGGGTGGAGTTTATGATTTCGGCGTTCAGGGTTTAGGGTTTGTTCACTAAACCTCACGGTTTCGGCTTAGGTTAATCTGAGCAACGAAAGAAGCTCAGCGTCGCGAAGACTGCGGTTTTTTTAAGCGGCGATGGAGATGGGACTTCGATGATGATGGCGATGATGATGACGATGATGATGATGATGATGATGATCATGGTGACGATAATTATAAAGATGGCAGTGATCATGTCTAACACTGTAGGAGCCTTTCAGTTGCTCATCCGGTCGCAGTGCTACAGTCGGGACCGGAAAGCACTGGAGAAGTCGGCTAAGCATCCACAGCCCTGAAGCCCTCAATTGTACATCCAAGCTTCGGCCGTAACCCCGGCAACCCTGAATCCTAAACCCCGCGCCCTGAACACCGCCTTAACTCCAAATCCCAAATCCTAAATATTCGATCTTCGAAGCCCTGACCACAAAGCCTGACAGCCTTTGAAGCCCCAAATTCGAGGTTCCAGTCCCAACATTCGTAGCACTGATCCCGCAGCCCCAAAGCCTAAAACCCCAGACGCTGAAGCCCCAGCAATGCACCAAGCCCTAAACACGGATCTCCAAGCCCAAAGCCCCTCAATCCTAATTGCCCTAAACCTTGAACTCTAAACCGCTAAACACCTAACCCCCTAAACCCTAAACCCTAAACGCTGTGCTGCAGGTCTTCCGGAAACTGCGTGCTACATCTTCGGTGAGGGCAGCACCTGCGATTCCAGCAGTGTTTTGGTTCCGAATTGAGAAGCTCAGGCTTTGGGAAATTATCATGAGGGCTTACAAAGGCGATTTACAAGGCTTCCAAAAGTGTTTTTGAACTGAGGCGCTTGGGGTTGAGGACTTGGAGATTATGGTTTCGGAATCAGGGTTTAGCGTATCTAGGCCAAACTGCGACAAGTCTGATTCCAGAACCCTGGCTGCGGACACGAGTTGTTTCGTGCTCTTGCCTTGTGCAGTTAGGGCCTAGTATTTAGGGTTCAGAGTCTTCCTCTGCAGTCATGTATAACTTGTATCAAGGGCATGTGTAGCTCAGGGTCGCAGGTGGTTCTTCCCTCCAGACGTAGTTGGGTGGCAAATGTGCCAAGAAGCCTGAACAAATCCCAACATAATTCCCTAGGGTTCCTGCTCATACGCATATGTATAGCTTAGCCCTAAAACCTTATTCTTATCATTAAAGGCCCACACATGAGAACCCCAAGAGCACTCAAAAAATACTGGGAGCTGCAAAGCCGAGTGGACAGCCGGGGGCGTGTAGTTTCGGCATTTGGTGCCTCAGAAGATGTTCCCCGAGTTCGGAACATTGTGCTGTGTAACCCTTGGTTCACGGGCTCTTGAGCACACGATGCAGATCAAGGACCACGAGTGCTAGGCCGAATGCCAGCTCGGTGGTACCCCTGACCCCCTAAACTACACGGTTTAGGGTTTAGGGTTTAGGGTTAGCCCGCTGAGATGCCCTTGCGCGCCGCATCTGCTGCTGCGTTGCCCCGGGTGGCGGCGACGATGTGTCAACGGAATGCTTCGTGCCTCGGCCCCGAGATCCCCAAAACCCCGCAAAGCCAGAGACTCCAATATCCCCTAATTAAGGAATATACCTTAAATCATATTAGGGATCCTACTATAATTTAAGGAATATACCTTAAATTATAGTAGGATCCCTAATATGATTTAAGGTATATCCTTTAATTAAGGGATATTGGAGTCTCTGGGAAGCCCCAAAACGCTAGTGGAATTCTCTCGTCTGAGCCCCATCCAACAAGCTGCCAGGTTGTGGAGGCAGCGGGGGTTGAGGGTGAAGGTGTTTAGGTTTTTGGGGGTACCGGGTAAGGTTTAGGGTGTCTTGAGTGATGTTACAGAGGGTACCAGCAGTCGAGGTTGTTGCTGCCGTCGTTGCTGTTTCTGTTACGGTTGCAGTTTCAGTTGCTGTTGCTGCTGCTGCTGTTGTTGCTGTTATGGTCGCACTGGTGGTGGCAGTGGTGGCGGCGGGAACGGTTGTCGCAGTCGGAGGAGGAGGAGGAGGAGCAAGACGCGCCACCATAACTTTAATGCTTAACATTCGTAGTTCGCGGCAAGGACAACAAGTAGCAATAATGGACCCTAAACCCTAAACCCTAAACCCTAAACCCTAAACCCTGATAGCATGAGGAACAGAGTTAGGCCGATCATAAACAGAAGCTGAAGTTGTCGTCTGCGAGGCTCAAGCTCGCTGACAGGAGAGAGCCTTAACTCTGCTGCAGGGTTTAGATTTTTGGGTTTAGGGTTTGGGGTTTAGGGTTTAGGGTTTAGGGTTTAGGGTTTAGGGGTTTAGGGTTTAGGGTTTAGATTTTTGGGTTTAGTGTTTGGGGTTGGTATGGTAGCCTTTTAGCGCCCCACTGGGGATTGGGGTCGAAACATGATCTGGCAAGCATCTTGCTTCTGAAGCTACAAGCCACCAGTGCAAGCCCCAAATCCCCACTGCATATTTTTGCATCCGATGAAGATCTCCCGTCTCAGAGTTCGCAAATGATTGGGTCGTGTTGCGACCAAGTTACCGACCACCACGTCAACCACGATCTCTATGACGACATCAAAGCGCCTTGGATATGGATAGTTCTCTAAATCAGGGTCCCTTTGGGGGCCCTTTTTACGAGTGTGCCCGTATTTTTTTTGGGACAGAACAAGGGACCCTAATTTAGAAACTACCCTAAACCCTAAACCCTAAACCCTAAACCCTAAACCCTAAACCCATATGTCAAAGTTTCGGACGTAGAGCCTCGGTGCCTCAGGCACCAGGTCGGGACAACAAGCCAGAGAAGCCCCACGCCCTGGGGTTTAGGGTTTAGGGTTTAGGGTTTAGGCCCGAACGAAGCTGCAATAAGCTGCGAATGGGATCTTGGGCGGACCATGCATAGTAGTGAGGATCCTGCTATTCGGAAATCCGGACGCTGAATCCCCCAATGTCCCCAGCCAAGGTACCACTTTTCTGCTGCATAGTACCGAACGGTGACAACGGGGTTTCGGGCTGAAAGCGACTGCACATTCCTGCACGCTGAATCCTCGACCTTAAACTCCCCAGAGAGCCCAATACCCCTTAATTAAGGAATAGACCTTAAACCATAATATTAAGGCCCGTATAATTTAAGGTATATTCCTTATGTAAGGGGTAATCATATTAGGGATCAGTCAAGGGATATTGGAGTCTCTGCGTCCCTTGTCAGGACAACCAGTTTCACAGCCTCTTGGCCGCCCTGGTTATGTTCATTGCCGGCTTCTCACACGATGCTTCATCACTAGCATGGGTAGTTCTCTAAATTTAAATTAGGGTTCCTTTTGGGGTCCTTTTTATAAGGGTGCCGTACCATATTGGGGACCTAAAGCGGGACCCTAATTTAGAGAACTACCTACATCTCTTAGGCTTTAGGGGTGGTGGGATTTAATCATCAGGGCCTTCTGGGGCAGACTCCTGGAACCCCAAATCCCTAAACCCTAAACCCCAAATCCCTAAATCCCTAAACCCTAAACCCTAAACCCCAAATCCCTAAATCCCTAAACCCTAAACCCTTAATGCCCTGAGCTCAGCAGAGATCAAAGCTTTCTGCCAGGCTTTGGCTCAAGTCAGATTCGTGGATAGTACAGGGGCCTTAAGAATTAGAATAGGGTTTGGGGGTTCCTTTAAAGGGTTCCTGAAAGGGTTCTATACGGGCTACTATAAGGGTTTGGGGTTTAGGGGCCTTACTAATTAGAACAGGGTTTTCGGGTATATTATACTATGATCATAATAAGGAAGCCCCAAAATGGTATTGGTAATTATTTGGGCCCCTATATTACTTTGCGGAAATCTTCCTTCTCATCCTCTTGCTGCTTCTTGTTCTTCTTGCCGTTGTTCTTCTGTTCGGATGTTTCTAGACAGTGGATTGCTTTTTGTTCTGGATCCTCTTTGAAGCAGCAGGAGGGAGGAGGACCGGGAAGAGGAGAATGAGGTAGAGGCGGACGAGGATCAGGACGAGGATGAGGATCACACCCAGCAGTTTCATTCTCATTTTCGCTATCAAAGTCGTGGCATTGTCATCTTCATCCTCATTGCGACTGTCTTCGTTGTCGTTCACCCTCAAGTCCTGCTCCTCACCCTTGCCATCACCTCATCATCAACTCAATATTGTTACTAGCCAGCATCGCCGTGACCATGACTGTCGCCGCCATGCGAATGAACATAACCATGACCATGACCATGACGTTGAAGACGACGACGCCCATCACGTCAACATCGGCGTCACCATCACCATCAATGCCTCCACAAACATCGCCATCAGAATCACTATCGCCATACCCACGACCGCAGCGTCACCAGCACCATCAGCATCGCTGTAACCGTCCTCTTGTGAGCAACAAGATGCCATCTCAACGTGCAGCGTGCTGCTTGCTGCTTTCCGATTGCATGTCTGACGGGCAAGTTCCTCATTGTTGGGAAGGTTTTGGGGTCAAAGGCAGGATAAGTTTGAGAGCATGGGCCTTGATTAAGCTTCTCTTGCAGGAAACCACCACGCAGACGACCACCATCTCAGTCACTACGACGGCTACAACAAGTGCGACCCACACTGCGACGGAAACTACCACGTCAGTCACGCAAACAAGCAGTATAACTGTGACGGCAGCTCGGTCGCGACTGGTGTAAGAACGATAGTAGTAGCAATAAGAATAACAACAGTAACAGTGACTCCAATAGCAATTGCAAAAGTAATGGTAATAGTAATAGTAATAGTAATGGTAGTAAAAGTAACGCTAAAAAGCTGTAGTAACAGCAAAAGTAAAAGTAATAGTAGTAGTAACAAGCAGCATGTATAAATGCTAATGACACTGATAATTCTAAGCATAATGGCAAGAATGATCCTGACAATACGAGTTATATCAAGGATAATGGTCTTTTCAGTAATCATACTCAAAAAGGATTAATAAGAACAGGAATAAGAACAGCATGGTGCAACAGAACACTATAACCATGAGCTTGATGTTAGTTACTCGTATACGCTGGCCTGACACATGCCATTTGACTAAACCCTAAACCCTAAACCCTAAAGTTCTGCTTTGGCCTTGCTCTCATGATTGCTAGTGTCTTTGTTTTCATTCTCACGAGCCATATCTCTGCCAGTGCTTGGATTTAGGGTTTCGGGTGTAGGGCTGAAGGTTTACAGTTAGGCGTGTATGGTTCAGGGTTTATGGGGTTTGCAGAAACCCTTCCTCGCTACATGCGCGGCCCACTTTCGTTATCTTCGTTCTCCCTCGAATTTGGGCTGTCGGTGTCTGCGAGTACTCGGGTCCCAATGAGTCTGGAGTGACTTGGGCTTTTTGGAGGTTAAGGGTTTAGGGTTTAGGGTTTAGGGTTTAGGGTTTAGGGTTTAGGGTTTAGAAGCAATTGAAACCGTCAGGAGCCGGGTGAGGTCTCCGGTACGAGGTTCAGTGTGCGGCTTTCGGACTGCTCGTCTTGGAGCCATATGGGTGGTTGTCGTTCCCTTTTTGGGTACTCTAAATATTAGGTGTCGTATTATATTACGGACCCAAAAAGGGACCATAATTTTGACAACCACCCATACAGAAAGTATGGTTTCAGGGAGAAGAGGCGATCTGTTACTTTAGGATGTCGTCCTTTTTGTCTTTGCCATGCTCTGTGCAGTCCTCTACAACGACGACCAGTCGAACTTTCACGACAAGTGTGACGACCACGAGCCAGACAACATCAATTTCCTCCACCCAGACTGCAACTACAACATCTGTGACCCAGACCTCAGTCACGATCTCTACCACACGAAGCTCGACCGTCACGATGACCTCGGCGCGGGGCTTAGCTTCGTTCGTGCAAGGATTTTTGCGGGCATCTCTGACTGCAGTGTTCTTGTGTTTGGGAACAAGTGGTGGACATACTTCTGCAGGCGACATCAACGTATACCGGGACATTAACAGAGACGTCAACGGAGACCACGACCACGGGGACCGGCACAACACGCACGGACACAACAACAAGTGCCTCGGAACTTAGCTGAATGTTTCAGAGAGTAAGTTAGGAGCCCTTACGCACAGAGCCTAATTTCAATCACAGGAGGCTCTACCTCTAATGTCCCTTAATTAAGGAATATACCTTAAATTATAGTAGGATCCCTGATATGATTTAAGGTATATTCCTTAATTAAGGGATATTGGAGTCTCTGGGTATGTTCTTATTTACGGTGCATTCCTCAACCAAGGGGTACACAGCTCTTTGGCTAGACGACCGTGCGCGAACCCTCAAACCTAAACTAAACCCTAAACCCTCAACCCTAAGCCCTAAACCCTTAAACCCTAAACCCTCAACTCTAAACCCCGAACCCCTCAACCCTCAACCCTAAGAGGACCCTACAGCCCTTTTCGGAGCTTAGCCTTTAGGGGTTCAGGGGTGTAGGGGTTTAGGTTTTAGGGTTGAGGGTTTAGGGTTTAGGCTTTAGGGTTTAGAGTTCAGGGTATAGGGGTTTGGGGGTTTAGGGTTTTAGGGTTTTAGGTTTTAGGGTTTAGGGTTCTGTGATCCCTAACGTAGCGGCCTTAAAAATTAGAGTAGGGGGTTTTGGGCGCATGAAAGTGTAATGATAGTGTGTATCTTACCAGCTATTCACCCTAAACCCTAAACCCTAAACCCTAAACCCTAAGCTATACAAATCCGTATGTTACATCGAGACTTGAGGATCCTAGACTCCACAGACCCTCCACCCCCAACCCTAAACCCCAGGGTTTAGGGTTTAGGGTTTAGGGCACGATCCTAAACACGAATTCCTAAGCCCTGATTCTTGAATCCGGAATGTCGAAGCCGCCGAACCCGAGCCTTCCGAACCTTGAATTTCCCGAAGGAGGTGCGCTTCAACACTCTTGGCCTGTTTCGTCATGGTCTGCTATTTCTGCTTGTGTGTTAGCGTTGTACTTGCGAGGCAGTGCGAGTTCATGGCTGCTACATAGTTTCCTACATCCTACAGCCTAAACCCTAAACCCTAAACCCTAAACCCTAAACCCTAAACCGTTTCTTGCAGTTTCCATCACCACGACCTTTTCCACGAGCACCACGACAGCCACCACCACGACAGTGGGGAGCTCGGGGTTGAAATTTGATCTGGGGCGTTTCGGGCTTGAGTTTAGGGCTAAATATAGGGGGTTAAATAATTACCAATTCTATTTTGGGGGCTCCTTATTATATTTAGTAGTATGGTGGACCCCCAAAGCCCTACTCTAATTATTAAGGTCCCTAAACCCCAAACCCTTATAGTAGCCCGTATAGAACCCTTTAGGGAACCCTTTAAAGGAACCCCCAAACCCTATTCTACTATGTTAGGGCTTAGGGCTTAGGGCTTAGGGCTTAGGGCTTAGGGCTTAGGGTTGAAGGTTGGGGTTCGCGGGTTCACATTTGCCGGGGGCACAAGAGGACGGTTTAGGGTTTAGGGTTTAGGGTTTAGGGTTTAGGGTGCCGTGAGCCCCTCGTGTTCTGCGGTGTCGGTTGCCTGACTTAGCGAGGGCTTTGGGATTTTGGAACAAGGTTTTGTGTTTGGGATTTGGGGCTTCGGGTTTTGCTTTTCGGGCTTTGGGTTTTTGAATTGGGGTTGTGGTTTCGGGCTTTTGGGGTTTGTGAAGATCACATGGTTTTGCTTTCTGTAGGGTTCATGCAGCCTTATGCTCTTAGTGGGCTGTTGCGACCTTTGTTGGGTTCTGGTATTGTCCTTAAACCCTAAACCCTAAACCCTAAGCCCTATTTTGTTTTAACCTGGAGCACTTGGCTTCAAAAACCCAAACCCGGCACCTGCCAAAGCTGGATCTCCATGCTTTAAACCGGGTTCTGGGGTTTAGGGGTTTAGGGGTTTTAGGGGTTTAGGGGTTTAGGGGTTTTAGGGGTTTTAGGGTTTAGGGGTTTAGGGTTTGGGGTTTTAGGGTGGGTTTAGGGTTTTAGGGTTTACTGATGCAACAGCGCGCCAGGGGGGAGGGTTGAAATGTTAGGGTTGGGTCCCCCATGTCGGTTTTGGCAGCCGCAGGTCACGCCGAGGGCGAACACCGACATTACCCGGGATGTGCCAAGACCTCAGAGCTTGTGGGGGAATCGGAGGGTCAGAATTGCTGGCAACAGCTGTTGAACAACTGAGCGCCTATACCCCGAGTTTGACAGCCTAAAAATTAGAGGCTTTACCCATAAATCCAAATCCGGGAGGGGTCTTCGAGTCTGTTTGACTGGGTGCTTTGCTTCACCCTAAACCCTCAACCCTAAACCCTAAACCCTAAACCCGAAACCCTAAACCCTGAACCCTAAACCCTGAACCCTAAACCCTAAGGCCCTAAACCCTAAACCCTAAACCCTAAACCCTGATCCCGAGCTCTGAAGGCCACTGGGAGCCACGCAGATCGCGGTGGACAGCACCTTAGGCTTCTCCGTCGGCCGTGCCCTCAGCTGCTTCCGTGATTCAGGGACTACGTATTTAAGGTTGAGGGTTTAGGGTTTAGGGACGGCTTGAGGGTGGTTTAGCAAGCATCCTTGGATTTACATGAGTTTTGGTAGGGCCAAAAGCGTTCCACAAGGGTCTTTAAAGGGGAAAGATGCAGGGGGAGGCCGGCGCCGGAGCCTGAGAGCGCAAAACCCTGAACCCCGAATCTTTGGTTTTTCGAACTCCCTAAACGCCCTAAACCTGAAAATCATGAGCCGCAAACCTTACATCTGCGCGACGACGTGGCGTCTCAAGACGCTCAGAGTGAATTCGAATTCCATGGGTCTTAGATTTCTGGGCACTCCGTGAAGGGGGGGGTGTATTGTTTCGAGGCTTCAGTTCGAAACCTACAAGGCAGGGCTTGGGGTTTAGGGCTTGGGGTTTGGGGTATTCGGTTTTAGGGGGCATCAGGCTCTTGCTTAAGTTATGTGGACTTTGAGGGCGGCCTCCAGAGGTACCCAACTAGAGTTTCAACATTCTTCGTCTTCACAGGTGTGCCTAGGTAGTATGAGGGAGGCGGGAGACCCCTTAAAGGGGATCCTTCTTTAGCCCTACTTCTGGCTCTCTTAAAGGGGACCTTGTTGAGAGGATCTATATCCCCAAGGGTCCCTTCCCCTGAACCGAAGTCAACTCGCAATTCAACATTCTGAAACGCTTCGCCGCACATCATGAACCCCAAGTCCTACACGCTAAACCTGAAAATCCTATTCCCCAAACCCTAGATCCCAACAAGCCCACCCCGGCCTCCGAACGGAAACAGACAAGGATCTTAGTCATACAGTGGTGTGTATGATAGCCTCAATGATGACTAATACTATCCCCTTACAGTCTTGTACAACTATACCACTACTAAATACCCCAAAGTCCTATTCTAAGGACCCACCAAGGCCCCAAAGCCCGAGCGACCCAAGCCCTAAAACACCAGAGCCTGCGCCCCGACACCTTACAAAGCCTGAGCCCTACATATAACTTCAGAGACAAACCCTAAACCCTAAACCCTAAACCCTGAACCCTCAACCCCCTACATATAACTTCAGAGACCCTATGCGCTGAAGGCCCTGAGCCCCAAAATTCGAGAAACCCCGTTGCTATCCTCCGAGAGACCCTAGCTGTGACCCCAAACCCTACAAAATAGTAGGTTATGACCCCTTAAATAGAGGTTAGAACCCTCAAAACGGTAGGTTTTTGGAGCCCCAGGTAGCCCCTAAGCTTTAGTGGTTGCCAAAACTCCTGGAGACACTACTATAGAGGCTTAAATAATTACCTATACTAGTTTGGGGGGCTCCTTATTATAACTATAACTATCGTTATACCCCCAAGAGCCTATTCTAATTGTTAGGGCCCCTATACTACACCTTCAGGTGATATTGCCCTCATTAGAAACAGAGAGGCTGCCGGGCCCTCGGACCTCTCCGGATGCTTGCAGTTTTAGGGGGGTTTGGGTTTAGGGTTTAGGGGTTTAGGGGTTTTCAGGTGCCAGGGTTGTTAGGACCCAGAGAACCCACTACCCCTTACTTAAGGAATATACCTTAAATTGTAACGGGCCTTAATATTATGGTTTAAGGTATATTCCTGAATTAAGGGATATTGGGTTCTCTGGGGAGTTGTATTGTTTTTGCTGATTTACCGTACAGACCGAGGCACAATGGCCGAACCTGGGCCCCTGAACACCTGGAACCTTGAAGCTGTCTATGTTTCATGAGGAAGAAGGAAGTCATCCGACAGTCATCCTTAGGGTTTAGGGTTTAGGGTTTAGGATATTGGGCGGTAGATTCCGGTTCGCCGGGGGCTCGAAGACAAAAATCGCCTCGAAGATGTGGCTCCATGTTCAGTTGGACCTGATGTTGATATCAAGGCCTGCCAGTTCGAATCCCTAACCCCTAAATCCTAAATCGACCTTGTTCAATGCTTCGAGCTGCTATTTGATCCCCGAGACTCCTCCTCCGGAACCCCACAAGTCACATGTCCCTTAAGAAGAGCTTTGAGGTGGAGATCATCAACATCACCTATGAGGTCAGACGGCTCGAAGCCGTCGATGAGGCTTGGCTTGGGTGTGGGCATGTTTGGGCTTTCCTGGATTCAGGGTTTACGGTGCAGGGTTAAGGGCTTAAGGTTTTCGGAGGTTTAGGGTTTAGGGCGGTCGAGGGATCCAACGTGTCAGTTGCTTCCCTGCACTGATATGCGATGCCTGCTGCAATATGCCCTCTTAGCCGCTACGCAAGAAAATCCAAAGCCCTAAAGCCCTAAACCCCTAAACCGAACATCCCGAAAGGTCCTAAACCTAAGTCCCGAACCAAACACCCTAAAGCCCACACAACCTGGATATCAGATCACTTCGGCTCCCTGCGCAGGGTTTCTACTCGGAGGGGGATGAGAGCGAGGAGGCCCGACATCCCAAAACCACCCGAACAGTCTTGTTCGGTTTAGATGCCTTGGAGATGGTTTCGGGTGTAGAGAGAGAGAGAGAGAGAGAGTGTGTGAGAGAAAGCGCTTCTTGCGGTACTGCTTTACGTGTCGCAATGGCCCAGGGTATACTATTCTGATAAGGGCAACCCTGGCGCAAAGCTCCACTGTGAACTTTAAGCTGCGTGTCGGGTTCAGGGCTTTGAGGTTTCGGAATGGGGCATTGAGGGTTTGGGCTCCGTGGGGCTGCTCCGCGTAAGCCCAAGAACCTCAATCTCAAGCCTGAACCTCGGGCACTCGAAACCCTAAACCCTAAACCCGAGACCCTAAACCCTAAACCCTATACCCTAAACCCTCCCTAAAACCTGAATCCTAAACCCTAAACCCTAAACCCTAACCTTTCAAAGCCCTGCAGGTTTGGATTTCAGGGGTCAAACCTTAAAGCTCCAGCCTGCTGCCTTCGACCTGCTCTCGAAACGCTGTCTGTCTAGGGTTTAGGGTTTAGGGTTTAGGGTTTAGGGTTTAGGGTTTAGGGTTTAGGGTTGAGGGGGGCCACCATGGAAGAAGCCGTGAAGACAGAGCATGATGAAGCCATGAGGGTTGTCTTGCGAAGTAGACTCCCCAGGCCTGGTGCCGCCGAGGCCGAAGCCCAAAGTTGAACCCTGAGCCCCGAAACCTCCAACCCTAAACCCTAAACCCTGCACCCTAGCTAGACACGGTTCCGTATGACCCAAGACCCCGAAGCCCAATTTAAAACCACAGCGCCCAAAAACCCACGCGCGAGCGCCAGAACCCTTGGGGAGGATTTCAGGGAGTCAGGACATCAGGCTTCAACCCCAAACCTAAGCCCACAAGCACAGAGGGAGCTCTCGAATTCAGGGCTTTGGGCCTCGTGGTTTTCAGGGCATGAAATGTAATATAGTGGCCTTAACAATTAGAATAGGGTTTGGGGTATGTTATACTTTAATTGTAACACTGAACCCCCCAAAAACCCTGTTCCAATTGTTAAAGCCCCTGCATTACTTCCCCTGAGGCAGCTTGGCGGCGCCTGAACGTCGACCTCACTGTCGCGATCCTCGACGCGACTGGGCAGAGCTGTCATGTAGGAGATGTATGTTTTGGGGTTCCACCCCGGGTTCGTTGAAGGAATTCAAAAGGGCTGTAAAAGGGTATCAGGATTTTCGAAGCTTCAGGGCTTGCTGGAGCACTCCCAAATTTTGCGGGGTTCAGGGTTGAGAGTGGAGGGCTCAACGGTCCATGCAGGGTTCAGACAGGGCTCGAAGCCCTGAGCCTTGCACCCCAAACCCCAAACCCGAAACAGATACCCTAAGCCCTAAACCCTAAACCGGAGCCCTGACCCCCAAGCCCGAAGCCTTCAACCCTTGGCCCGACATGTCGCAACCTTACAGGGCCGTGGTCTCATGCAGAGTCCATGCCAGGAAAGAGGTTGCTCTAGTCATGCCCCGGAGAGAAGCCTGGGTTCGAGCAGCATGACAAGCTAGGCCCAAGAACCCGAAATCCGAACCCATAAACCACCACACGGTGTAGGGTTTAGAGTGTTGATGACGGAAATCTTGTATCACTACGACATTCACTGACTCCTGACATCAGCCATCACCAGGACCCGGCAACCCCTTTTAAGCATTGAAGGCAACATGCCATGTGACTGGTGCAAGATTGTCGTCAGTGGAGACGTGACATCAATGTTAAACAGGCTGTGGGGTACTCTCTCTCTCTCTCTCTTCTCTCTGACTGAGTGACTGCTCAAATTCACAGTACCCCAAAGCCCTCAACCCTCTTCAAGCCCGAACAAACAGATCCCCCAACAGGTCCCAGCCAAGTGTTCCCTGCTAAACCCTAAACCCTAAAC